AAACAGCGCTGGCTCGATACGTTGCACGCAGACTTGAAGTCGGTTAACATCCACCCCGACCAAGCATTTAATCGGGAAAAGTGGCGTCAGCACATCAGAAAAGCGGACCCCGCCAACAAGCGGGACAAACGCTGAAGAATAAGAAGAAGAAGAATCTTGGCAAACTGGTGATGTTGCTCTGCCTTTCAGGTTGAGTGAGCTTCCACTACTGTCAGACCTATAGGTACATTGTGTCCGCATTTGAGGGGAGGTCAATGCATTCGAAACGAATTACGCATTCAAAATACTGCTTGTAAACTACTGAGGCAGATAACTGAAAATCCATGAAGATTCTGCGTTTGGTGCAACTTTATGGCAGCCTTCTCCTGATTTTCACTAGTGGATGCTAACGACAAGCTCAAAAATCACAAAAAGAGGCAGAATTATGCTACTGTCTGAGCTGACATACTTCGAGAATCACCACAGTACCGTCCAAAGAGACTTGTTGCCAGTGAACTCGTGCGAACCACCCTATTTCCTAGTTATCATTTCCTTCCTCTCTTATGGGCAATGTCTCTACCAGGGTCAAGCGAGGCGTCGAGGAAAATTCGAAAAAGTTGTTTAATTCTCCACCAAAACTGCTCATAAAAAAGCCCTGCTACCCCACCGTCCACAAAAAATCGTTTAAGAAGTACAAAAGTGAAAAAGTCAAAGAATGATCATTATTGATGAGTCCTACCAAACGAGCAAACGAGAAACGGAGCAAAAAACGACAAACTAGTCACTAAAAATGGCATACTATGACAACATCTCTTCTTTATTTATTTCCTCCACAAGACTTACCAAATTCTAGTACTACACAGATTATGGTTCTCAATTTACACGTCCCCCTTTCGCTCAAAGGAAGCCTTGTAACCGCCTTCGCCAGCTGTGTGTTGACTGGACTTTGGCGTTGACCGTGGAGCAGCTTATTTACTATTGAAATTTGAACAAATATTCAAATGATTATAACTTTCTTCAAATTACGAATTTTCAATCTGAAAGCAGATTTGGGAGTTTTGTGAAGAGCTTTTTCTAATCAGTACTGAAATTACAAAAGTTATAAGAAATAACAAATTTAGATCAATTAACGAGGAAAATTCGAGATGAGCACGAGTTTTTACACTTTCCGAAGCAATAACTTGCTTCATTTTCGTCAAATTCAAAAAGTTGATACGTCATACAAAACTAGAAGATTTTCTCTATCAAACGGTTGCTAAAGCAGCTTCATACGTCCAGTATCAAAAAATGGCCACGTTGAGGATTTTTGCAAAATTAACGAGGAAAATTCGTGATGAGTGCGAGTTTTTACGCTTTCCAAAGCCATAACTCCGTTCAAACTCATCAATCTGAAAGTTAATACGTCATCATAAACTAGAAGATTTGCTCTTTCAAGGCACTAAACTGCTAAATACGTCACTATTTAAAAAATGGCCACGTTGAGGATTTTTGCCCGAGTACCGCCGAAAGGTACTTTTTCGCTACATTAGCACTATTTCAACGACTATAGCTCCTTTCAGGGGCGATTACATACTGAAGTAGGAGCAGATTCAAAATCCTCGTGCTTTTCTCTTGCAAAAAGTGTAAAATTGTTTAGCGGTCTCAACTTTAAAGGTTACATGCTTGTGAATTTGACGCTGAAGGCTGCGTTTCTTGTTGAATAGTGTACTCCTCTCTGTAATTTAACATGAACCTTTCAGAATCCTCTTGATTCTTCCTGAATTAAGATTCGTTATCAAGATAGCCGTAGCTGAAGCGCGCGCAACCAACTGGGCCCACTCTGGGATGCGCCGTGTGCTTCACATCTCGTTGGATTTGAGGACCTACTTGAAAGATAAAATATCCCTAGAAAACGTGCGAATTTCGGATTCTTTGACTTGTGTGGTGATGAAACACTGAAGTAACTAAGAATTGCTAAGCGGACACCTCTAAATCACGAAGATTTTGTGTGGACGGAATCAATTGTTATTGGAAATACTCTGGCCTGGTATCGATTCGATCCTTAATGTTTGTCCTCCGACGATGATCCTACTGTATCAATCGGGCCCGATCTCTCCCCAGCGGGCCAATACGACCCCCCCTCTGTGACATGTCGAGGATTCCTCAACGCACGCTTGACCCTGGTCTCTACTTTCACCTGCGGTAGTACCAGTGCGGTGATCAAACTCAAAATCTGGCAATGTGCCGAAATCAAGTTAGCGTCCAACTAGTGTAGCCGTGTGAAAGCTCTTGCCAGTGCTATGTTTATTTGAACGTGCGCACGCGGGAAATTTCTTCAAGGATGCGAGCATTTAGGTGAATACTTTTGATCACAAGCCATTTTCGCGCCTTTTGGACCCGTTGCGCGTGAGTTGGGATGGAAAGCATATGGTTGCGTATAATACTATTATACTTTATTACTTTATACTGTAATACTTTATTTTACTGGTCCAGCCGCCTCCTGTCGATAGTGACGATCCTTTCTGGAACACCTAATACTGAGACCACCTTTTCTGGCTTTTCAAGCGCTGTCACAAAACTGAAATGTGTGTCACTCCATGGGAAAAGCTGCATGATTAAATATAACTATCTTTGAGAAGAAACGACTCTGTCCTTGTTTAGAGAGTTATCTTGCTGCCAGTAGACTTTTTAGGCCTTCAACGCCTTGCTTCATGCGCGGGTGCTATCTTAGTTGGGGGGGGGGGGCACGCGGCGGCGCGGCGCTCTGTTCGCCTCCTCCTGCAAGGCTTAGTCCTCGATGGCGCCTATTTCGAAACTGTCATGTGATGGCGAAATAGTAACTGCGGCTCTATACAAGTGGGATGGGCACGTCCAGCTTTTCACGCATGTCAAGTGGCTGCCCTCACCCCCCACCCCCTAGATTGGCTACACTCCCCCTGGCTCACGAATTCCCCGATTCTCGTGACAGTACAGCAGCGGGCAACAGTCCCACTGACATACTTTTCTGTTCAAAACACCGTAACTGCCCCTGGGACTAAGCCTTTGGAGGAGCAGATAAAAGAGCGCCGCGTCGCCGCGTGCCCGCCCCCAATTAAAGGACGAATTCACGATGAAAAAGCAACCCATTTCAAATTAACCTAGGGATGGTGAGTGGTACACGAAAGAAGGAAGAACCATGAGAAACGGCCCAGAACCCGAGAAATGGGACCCCTTCCTTGCCCGTTGATTTGAGCATTGATGCGACTCTCATCGCTGTGCCCTCTTCAACACTACGCTCTCTCAGCTATCTAATCACTCGCCACGTATTGAACTACGGCGAGTGATCAGATGATCGGTGGGCGGAGATCGCCGGACCCGCCAGCTTTGAGGCATGATAGGTCGCCGAGGTCAAATTTTTCCATGCGAATTGCGCGTCAGTTCGCACCCTCAGGAGGTCCGTGGGTCCCTCAACTAGGTCAGTTTCCCTTTCTTCGACCTTCATTCTAATCGTGAATTCCTCCTTTAAAGCAAATTCAAGGAGGGTCGAAAATTTCAATGCCACTAGTAA